GGAGTCCCTATTATAAGTGGATTGTAATTTTATAATTTTACTCATAAATACTTATTACAATTGTAAAGTTCAATAGCCTATATTCTTGTCTGCGTGTATTCAAGTAATTTTCTTTCAATTCAGAAACCTAGAATTGTATATGTTAACAGTATACACTGTTCCCATGTTTCTTTAATAAAAGACAGATTTGTGGTTCTGGGACATATATTCAACTGCAAGCCCACTTCCCAAAACAGAAAAAAAAAATGAAAATGGTAGGGGTTCTATGATCTGGCAATGTAGCTGGAAGAATTTATTAAAGTCTATCTCTGACTGTGACCTGATATGTTGACACAAAAGGAAAGAAAAAATTTCTTTCCTTCCTCAGCATCACCTTTCTGTCTTCCATTTTCTTTCTTCTTAGTGTTTGACCTTCTACCAAGAAGTAGGCCCGGAACCATCCAGTCTATTCCTTTCTTTTAATGGTTTTATTTTCAGTATAAATATTTTTTTTTCTCTCTCTTTCTCTCTCTCTGTGACACACACTTTCTCTCTCTCTCTCTCTCTCTCTTTCTCTCTCTCTCTCTGTGACACACTTTCTCTCTCTCTCTGTGACACATTTTCTCTCTCTCTCTGTGACACACATTTTCTCTCTCTCTGTGACACACATTTTCTCTCTCTCTCTGTGTGACACACACACATTTTCTCTCTCTCTCTGTGACACACATTTTCTCTCTCTTTTCTCTCACATTTTCTCTCTCTGTGACACACATTTCTCTCTCTCTCTCTCTGTGTGACACACTTTCTCTCTCTCTCTGTGTGACACACACTTTCTCTCTCTCTCTCTGTGTGACACACACTCTCTCTCTCTCTCTGTGTGTGACACACTTTCTCTCTCTCTGTGTGACACACTCTCTCTCTCTCTCTGTGTGACACACTCTCTCTCTCTCTGTGTGTGACACACTCTCTCCTCTCTCTCTGTGTGACACACTCTCTCCTCTCTCTCTCTTTAAAAATCTTTGGCCTTCTCTAAGAAAATAGATGAATTGTATGCTTGCATTTCAAAATATAGAACCCTGACTGAGTTTTTATCCATCAATTATTCTTTGCACTGTTGTAATTCACTCATCCTTTTATTTCTGTATTTGCCAAAAGATGTCAAGTATAATTTATTCTCAAACATATCTTCAGAAATTCTTGAAGATGGATAATTTTGACTTTGTTTTAAAAAAAAAAAAAAATTTATTTATTCTTCAACACTATCTTTATATATTTTTTTCTTCTATAATGTTTAAGTTTTGTACAGCAAAAAGTTAATCTACCTTATACTAGTGACAATTGGCAATATCTATGGTACCAAAATATTTATGAAGCTGAGAGGTGAAAAAACTGATTCCATGAAAGAGCTGATTGAAGCAATAGTAATTGGGGAAAATATATTTAAAGACTCACCTGATAAGGGCAAAGACATAAAATACCAGTTTGGCATATGCAGTAATTTTTGACAGCATGGGTAAATTTTTTTCCATAAATAATATTCTATGAATTTATTTAGTACAAAAATAATTTTTCACTTCAGAAAATGTGAAACCAATAGCCTTTAAAAAAATTAATAGATTTTTTTTTCATTCAACATATTTTTATTACTTTTTAGTGGATACCTGTATTAGAATAGGTAACTTTGCAGGAGAAACCACTGTCTGATCTAGTGTGCATTAACCATTCAGCTATGAAGATCGTCTATTTGTCTTTTAAGCACACTCACTTTCTCAGATTTTTCTCAAAAAACATATCTGCTCTAGTTTGGTGTCCAAAAATTTTACTGTTTAAAATAGTGCATCTACTCAAATATGGGTATCCACTAAAAAGAAAATTTGAAATAATAAAAAAAATCAAAAGCTTTTATTTAATCATTTTTCAGGTATTTTACTTCCTCTCAATCAAAGAATATTAAGATTCATTTTTTTTTCATTTTTTTTTTTGAGAATTTTGCATTTCTATTATCAGTGTTGCTTTGCAAGGTTAACACAAGATTGGTACTTGTAAAGTCTGTTATATTTAAAATGGATAAAAATTTGTCAAAGTAGTTCAGTCCTCTTTTGTCAAATTTTGTTGATGGATCAAAAAAAATCACAGAAGCATTTCTTTAAAATATTTTGTAAATTGCTTTTTTTTTTGCCTTCAAAGAAATTTGCATTTGTATTACAAAAAAACTTCATGTTTTGTTACTTATATTCTTTTAAGAAGAGGCACAGTGTAGTAATGGATAGCGGCTCGGATTGAGTCATCAGAAAACTGAGTTCAAATTCCAGTCAAATCCATCACATTCATTTATGTGCTAATACGCTTGGGAAAGGTATGAATCCTTCTCTTCTCCTCCCCAGCTATGGATAAATAGCAGGACAGGCCAGGTTCTCTAGCCTTGGCTGGCAACTGGTCTACCACAGAAAGTAATGGCAACATACTGCGGGGAAAAAATCTGCCTCATCAGTCATGTATCGAAAGATACATGATTGCCTAAGCGTGTATCACACATGGCACATAACTGATTCTTTCAATTAAAACTTCAATCTTGGTGCTGCAGACAAATTAGTTTTAAAGTCAACTGTTTTGGTTTGTTTTTTGTTGGTTTTTTTTTTTTTTTCAGGATAATTTCCTGAATGTCTTTATTTAAAAGTTCTGACAGAATATAATTATCATTTGAAATGAATGAATATTAATGATTTTCTTTAAATAAAAGTAAGTAAATAATTGCAAAAAATAAACAATGACCCTTTTTATAAAGTTGTATTTTTATCAAATAAAATGTATGTAATACTATTTATACATAGGATTGTTAAGATTGGCTGTGTTCTCTTGTTTAAACAATTTTTTATCTGCATGCCCCCACACATGCACAGAAAATATTTTTACATAAAAAATTACATTATAAAGAGATAGATTTCTCATTGTTTTATGATATTTGTTTATAAAATTAGTTAAATTTTTTTTTTCAGATAAGTTTAAGAACGATACTGTACAGTGTTTATTGTAAAACAGATTTTAGCCAAACAAATGTTATGAAAAGATAAAATTAAAATCCTGTATTTTATTATGTATGTAAATATGGCATCATACCAAAATCTAACAAAATATATATCATATAGCTTTTAAGAATATAAAAAAAGCATCTGGTGTTGGTCATTTTTTTTCTCTATACCATCTATCAAAATCTTGCTAATTAATTGGGTTGTATTTACATAAATTTTATACCTGGTTCACACTCCTCCTTGGTTTGTTGTACAGGAGTAGACGTTTATCCCTTGTTCTCTTTTAGGATTGGGTTTCTTGTTCCTTCTAAAGTCTTTTCATTCTCCTTCACTCGCAGTAGCACTTTGCATCTTTAATGGCATTATTGCCTTGCTTGGGGTGAATTATAGATGAAAAAACCGATATTTTTAAGATGAATTTATGAATTAAGTAAAGAATCTAACTTTAGATCCAGTTTCCAACACACTGACCCATATTTGATCATCTGTTTTTCCTCCTCTCAGTATGCTATAAAGATATTTTCTATGGTGTTTGTTAATATTGTAAAAGATACCAAGAAAGAATATATTTTTCTGCTCTGTGTTTAATTAGTTCATTACTTGGGTAGATCATTTTAAATTTTATCCAGGAATGTGTTTTTTAGATAAGGCATAAGAACTGTTGTAAACACATTAATGAAATGATGCAATATTTTATCAACTTATCAATATAACAACTTGGCCATGTCAAAACCTTAAATGCAGGAATACTTACCATTAAACATTACCATTTAACATTCCAAAATAATTTTTTTCTAATAAACAAATATTTTATAGTAATTTAATATTTTATGCTAAATGTGCATATTCATTGCCTTTTTACATTCCAAAATAATTGCTGCCCATTTGAATATTTGTAAAATAGTTTCAAGGACAATTTGTTTTGATTTAGACATTTACTACATTTAAACAACTTTTCTGGTAATGTTTGCTTCATATTTTATGGTTTATGGCTATATGATATTAGAACACCAGTTCTCATATGATGCCCAGAGTTAGGCAACATTGAGCCTGGTCAATACCTAGACGAGTGATTGCTTAGAAATACCAGGTGCTGTAAGCTTGGATGTACAGGTGGTGCAATGGATAATGGCTTTGAATTGGATAGCCAAGTTCCAAATCCAACTGTGTTATATTCACTGATGCACAAATACCCTTGCAAAAAGTCATGAATCCAGCTCTTTTTCCCCCACCAGCCATGGGCTAAATAGTAGGGTTTGTATCAGTAAATCATTATGATCTCAAAAAAATTCTTACAATTTAAAAATATTTTTCTGGCTTTAAACAACCTGGGGAAGGTTGATAAGCCATAAAAAAACAAAATCATATTTTATTTTCAGTCTAGTAAATGAATTTGGCTCTATTATTGCCGTTTATCTTTTGGTGGTGTCATTAGTTGTATGATTAGAAAGGGAGTGTAGTGTTTTTATTTCCATTTACAATTTTTTTATATATATCAAGTTGGTGTTTTATGGAAAGTTATCACTATTGTACTTACCATTGGAGACACTTTTTTTTCCCCTCTCTGAGGTTGAAATTTTCAATGAAGCTATCAACTATATAAGAATTGTTTTGATCTTCAGTTTTTTTTTAATTTATGATTGATAGCAGCCATGTTCTCTTAATATCCATTTCATAAATGTTATTTAAATTTGAAACCTTTTGCCATTGTGGGGAAAGGGGCAAAATCAAATTTCAGTATATTTTTATATCTTAAAATACAAAACATCTTTTCATAATTTGAAATGACATTCCATTGCTTGGAGATCATGCCACATGTTTACTCTTTTTTTTTTTTTTTTTCTAAATAACTTCATCTTAGAATGTTCACCCAGGAAAAATCTTACATCATATTGAGTAATATGTAAAATATTTCCAAACAACTAACAAAGGAGTGGTCACTGACTTTTGTAATATTTATCCTTTATTTTTATTTCTTGTTTCTCTTTTCAGAAGAAAGAAAGTTAGCTAATGATGAATGTCCATTGTTTGTTCAGCTGCATTGGGGTACTGATATGAGGGAGGGACGCTTCTTATTAAAATGTGCACAGGAAATCACCGCTAAGGTAAGTCATAGCTGCAGTAATGTGAGAAATGTGGAACCACCCCTTGTGCCTGTTTTAAATGTTGCAATGTGTTAATGATATTAAACAACATTAAGATTTAATATCTGAGGTATGTGAGTTTGTCTCACTGATATTTTAGATTTTTATTTCCAATCTGCATTGGGTGCTAACAGATACAGAATGACTATGGGAATAGTGGTGAAAAACAAATGAAATTAAAATGAAAACTAAAAAATAAAAATAAAATAAACTTTGACACCAAATTATAATTTTGATATTTAAGAAATGTATACAGAAAATTGTTTTTCTTTTCTTTGTTATAAATAGACAATATTTTATTTTGGGGTTGGCACTTAATGTTAAATATAATTACTATTTTTATTTCTGAAAAAATATTCAGAATCTACTAAAATTTCAACCCTTAGGGATGAGGATAGTTATGTATACAAATTACTAACTCTCCGTCCCAGGAGAAAAGATATGACAGGAATGTTCCATAAGATTTATATTAAGCTGTTGATTAATTCCTCTTAGTAACTTATCAACTAACAGAAAATTATAGTAAGCACATTCCAGTTGCATGCTTTCACACTGGTGGAGTTTTATTAATTTTGGCACATTCATTATCAGGACAGTCATTTTTTTTATAACAAGACAAGCAATGTTTGTACAAAGACTTATAATTTTTTTTGTAGATTTATATATTTTTATACTTCAAAAAATTCTTTAAATATAATTTGAAGACATTCTGTTAAAATATTGTTTAACATTGTCAAATACTGTGGTTTTTCTTTTTCTTAAATCATGCTCTTCTCTTAACTGTTGGAAAATATTGGAAGAGTTACATCAATCATTTTGTTTATTATTAGTTTTTTTTTTTTTTTTTTTTTTTTTTAACATTTGGAAAGTGATTAAACATTGACAGCTGCAGTACAATATTTGAATTGAGATCTTGAAATAAGGAAGTGTTTATAGCAAAACAACAGATTAAGAAAATATAATGACATGTTGAATTGAAATTCTTTAAATTTCTCTATGTACTGGAATATTTCAGAGGCACAAACTTATCAATTGAACATGTTCCTTCTAAACATGCATGCACACTCCAGATACTAATTTGCTAAGTTAATTAAAAGGAATCATCATGCAATATAAAAAACAAAAGTACATTGCCTTTTTGGTCACTGCTGTCTTGAAATTAAAATAACAAATTGAAAGCAAAGACTTACTATTTTGCTTGAAAATAAGAATTTCCAAAGAAGTTTCAGACTTTTATACATTTTTACTTTCAGAAGGTGGTTTGATTAAATTGCAAGCCAATAATATCCAGATTTCCCTTTAAAATTCAATTCTGTTTACAATGTAAAAATTTCTTGCTTTTGTGAGTCTTAAATAAAAAAAGTTTGTGAAAAACTTTTCAGGCTTCATTGAAACCTGATCTTTCTCTTTGCCTCTGGAGATAAAAAATTTTCTTGGGTATGAACTTGTTTGCATCCAGTAATTTGCTGAAATAATGATGGAAGTAATGTAGTTCTTTTAGAACATGTTTGTCTCTTTAAAAGAGAAGAAAAAAATTTTCTCTGCTTTGCTATAGAAAACACTGTAATGAAATATATGTAAGTAAATATTGAAGAACATCTGGCTTGAGTCAGTGATAACCGAAAACCACACTAAATTCCAAATTCTATATTGTTTAATTTTAGAAAAAAAATGAAGTGCATTTTTTGTGAAAATTGACATGCTTGTATTAATATATATGCTATTGTCAAAGTAAATAGAAGCAATTTTCTTCTTTTTTTTTTTTTTTTTTTATCATCATTCACTGAAAATGAAGAAAAATGATTATTTATTCAATTTTGGTTTATATTATTTATTTATCTAGAGAATATTTTATACCAAGTTGTATGTTTTATCAATTTATTATGTTCATCATTGGTTTATCATATATTTGGCATAAATTTCATATGTGTAGCGTGACTCTTTCTGATGAAGTTTAAATATTGTTAATTTGGTTAATAGATTTAACACAAGTGAATGATCCTTATCTATTTACTCATAATTTAACATATTTTAAAATTTTATTTTGTACAGGGTGTGGCAGAGACACTTCCCACATAATAAGACATTAGCTAGATGAAGACACTATTGCCACTAATGTCTTACAGTTATGTGGGAGGTATTTCTGCTGCACCCTGTATAAGATAAAGGAAGACATATGCTTTTGGGGAAGAAACATTCCTAATTTTTTTTTTTTTTTTTTTTTTTTCTTCATGTCTATTTTCTAAGGTTTTTAACTGCTTTTTTTCATTTTTATTTTTTAATCTAATTTTATTTCTCAAATTTATATGCCCCTAAACAATGTTATAATGATAGTTTGGGGATGTAGAATTACTGTTATTATTCATAATTTTTCCATAATTTATGAAATTTATTGCACTATATTAACCATAGAACACTAACCATGGGTATATAGTACCCAGCACAAATTTTCTATTTTTAATTACAATTTTCCGTACCTGCTTTTCTTACCTAAATAATGTTTTTTAGTTCCTATTAATGTTAACTCAAAGTACAAAGTTTGAAGTGCCTGCATGTAAAATATTTCAAATAAAGATTTATATTTAATTTTTTTTTTTTTTTTTTTTTTTGATATTTTCAAAATCGGATATGATATACCCATGGTTAGTAGTGGTGTAACTTTAATTGATGGTTAGTGTTCTAGGGTTAATACAGATATTTATTTACTAATTTATTTATATATCCATTGAAATTGCTATTTTATTTATACATTAGCACAAATGACTGCATTTGTTTACTTAAGTATCAACATGACATTTTTAAGGAAGACAAGTTATTTTCAAATATACAGGAGAAACATTTCCATTGCTAACATTTATTTTGGATTGTTTACTCTAACTTTTCATTCTGTATAACTGATTATTTTCTATTAAAATTCAAACAGTTTTAACAATAAAATTGAGTTTATATATATTATTTTATTTATTAATTACTTTATTTTTACTTTTCTGTCTCTCTCTGTCTCTTTGTCTCTCTCTCTCTGTCTCTTTGTCTCTCTCTGTCTCTCTTTCTCTCTCTCTGTCTCTTTGTCTCTCTGTCTCTTTGTCTCTCTCTCTCTCTCTCTTTGTCTCTCTCTCTCTCTTTGTCTCTCTCTCTCTCTTTTGTCTCTCTCTCTGTCTCTCTTTGTCTGTTCTCTCTCTCTCTTTGTCTCTCTCTTGTCTCTCTCTCTCTTTGTCTCTCTCTCTCTTTGTCTCTCTCTCTCTTTGTCTCTCTCTCTCTCTCTATATATATATATATATATATATATATATATATATATATATATATATATATATATATATATATATATGGTGCTAAAATAAGACCGTGTTGTGGAGTAACAAAAGATGCCTTCCAAAAATGCAGCAAAGCACTAACAGGAAAAGGTTGTTAGAAACAAAGAAAAGATTGCTGAATTTCTATTTATTATTATACTTCCTATATGGTAGTGAATGCTGGCCAATTTCCTCACAGAGAGGAGACTTAAGGCAACAGATGTAGGTCAACAGAAGAGTGTTGAGAATACCATGGAGAGACCATGGAAACTTTTCTTTCTTTTTTTTTTTTTTTTTTTCCTTCTTTCTAATAATCATTACAGCCCAAGCAAGGTGATAATGCCACTAAGACTTGAGGGATTACTGGGAGTGCAAGAGAATAAGATTTTAGTGAGGAGAGAGGACGATAAAAAAGCACAGACAGAAGATGGCAATTAACATTGCATTTAAATTTGTGAAGAATGTAGGTGGCAGGGAAGTAAGAAATGAAGATTTCCACAGGTGAGAAGTGAGAAAAGAAACTATTAGAATGGAACTTATGGTTACAGTTATACTATTTTAACAGTAAAACATATTTGCCAATGTAGTATGCTTAAATTCATGCAGTCAAGGTACCAAGGAGAAGAGTTCATCAGAACTTCTACTTCAAATTAGTAAGTGACAGTTGAAATTTCTGGAATACATGAGGAAAGCAGGCTTGGAGAATGTGACAATCACATGATATATTGAAGGTAAAAGGGATAATGAAATCATTAGTAACCTTACCTAACAAGCATGTATAAATAAATAACAGAACAGGGAGTAGGAGGAACTTTTAAATTCTTGATTGGTAACATTTTCATAAAGAATATTTCTCTTCCTTTTTAACCCTGACTGCTTTTTATAGTTTTTAAATTAACAAAATTCCTTCATGATTGATTACATTCCATGTGTTTTTTTTTTTTGGTGGGGGGTTCCTAAATTGTTGTTTTGTGAGGATCCTTGTAGCATTTTTGTGTATGTGGAGAAATTTTCAAAGGTATGAAAAAAACATATAAAGCATATAAACATGTTTATTTTTGTCAATTATATATTGTGAATATTGTTATATTGTGAAAAGGTAGTGAGTCATGTATGTAACAGGTGACATCTTTTCTACCTGTTGTGAAGTGGTGGGCTTGTATAAACTAGTTTTTATTTCTTATTACAATTATGAAATTCTTTTACTTACCCCTCTACAAAGGGAGTGCTGAAAAGTTCTCATCCAAGGAACACTTGGTGTGGGGAGACACATTTGATGTTTGGTCATTTGGTCAGATTTTAGGAAGTGGGTTGGGCCAAGGATTTTTCAGCACCAACTTCTGTATTAGATTAATAAATATGTTCTTATGAGAACTTTGATTAAACATTACTCTCAGGGGCAGAAATTTTAGGTAGCTAGATTTGGTTACAATTCAGTTATGATTTAGACTTCAAGATTATAAAAAAATTACTCTTTTTTTTTTTTTTTTTTTTTTTTTTTTTTTTTTTTTTGTTGGTTGTCATGCATGTTGAGAATTTATACTGAGACAAACAAAATGAAGGGCTTTATCTTTGGTTTATAATTAGACAACAAAAAGCTAGTCACCATTTTAAAAAGATAAACTAAATTTTTGCAGTATGTAAGCTGATAACTATTTAAATGATCTC